TTTTCTTTACTCAAAGATAAAGGAAATATTGAAAAGAAAACATTTTGATGACCTTTAGGTAATCAAGGGTAATACAACAACAGTTTTGATGGCCATTCCAGAAAAAGAGTTCTAAAATTGCTTTGAAAGGAGGACTAGGTGTTGGTGCACAGCTTCCAAATAGGGTACTTAGAAGGTGACCATAGTGATGTTCAGCAATGAGGTATGTACCATTTTTTTCTAGGATGAGTTTGCAGACTTAATTGTCAGAATTCGTATATAAATATACTTAGGTTGTATCTGGAAAATTCTAATTTAGAGAAACGGAGTAGGGCAATGAAATCTAATCTGTATGTCTCAAAGTCCCCCCAGAGGACACTGCTATGCCCTCCTATCTTAATATAACCACAAGCGTTTCTGGAAATGTATTCTGCTTCAGAATCCCAAGCCCAGCACAGGAGATGGTTTCAGTTCCCACTTTCCTAAGACATCTGTCCTACCTGATCTCAGAACTGACTGAAAAAGGGAATCGTTGCTAAAACAGCTTTTCCTGACGTTGACCTCAACACTGAGAATGAAACAGAGAACTGTTATTATCTGAACTATGCAAATGTGAGAGTGATTGAGTGTGCAGTTCATCAAAAAGGCCCATTAGGGACAAATAAAATCCTGAGTCTGGTGTTTCCACAGATTCTCTCTCCCAGGCAATGGAGCAGTGATGGTTTGTTTCCAGTTCTGTGTAGATACTTCAGTTTGTTAATGGACATCCTGTGTTTTATTACAGAGAGAGTTTATGGAGCCTGTATGTCTAAGAGAATTCTACAGAATGCCACATTCTTTAAAATAGTCCCTTGTCTTTTCTCTAACCCTACTTTGGGTATTATATAGTGTGGCTGTCTATCACCACTAGGCCTTTTACTCATATTACATACTCCGAGTTTAATTCTTTCCATCAGCACTAGTAAACCATCCATATTAAATAGAATAGAGAACAAATGAGCTTAAGTTATCTTTTCCTTTCCTATTCAGGACAAGGCTGGAATAAGCAGGTGAGTCTGTAATAGGATGGCTGGCCTGGTAGGTGGCATGGGGCACAGAGCATGGGGCTGGCGGATGCAAAATGAACTGCACATGTTCAGGGCATAACATCTAAAGGGTAAGGCAACCCATGGTAGTCAGTGGCCTGGAGTCTGAAGTAATTAGACACAACACAGTGATAAGAAACCAAGAAGCATACAGAAACTTATATGTACCTCATTTTCTTATCTTTAAAATGTGGATAACTCAGTACCTAGAAAGTAGTTCATCATGAGTAATACACTTATAAATACACGTACATACCCAGAATGGTACCTGGCACATTGTGAGATATTAACGTGAAATGACATCCTTATTATGATTACTGTTTTCATCAATAGCAACTTAGATATGAGGTGGGTTGCAGGTCTCAGGAACAGGGCATGGGAAAGTGAGGTGAGAGGAGTAGAAGTGTGGTTTGCCCTTTGAGAAAGAACTTGGAGACCCTTGAGATGAACTTGAAGCAGAGGGTTTGGTGACCCTCAGGGTGGGGCTGGGGAGGAGCAGAAACTGAAACCCAATTTCTAGAGCTGTTTGCTCCAACTGAGCTGACGCTTCTCTTTCTTCCCTTTTGATGACACCATCAAGTCCCAAGGGAAAGAACTCTAGGACCACGTGGAAGAGTGGCTGGTGTCCATATCTTAGACCCTCAGTCCCTAGAAGGCATGGCTTGGGTGTCACAGGTGATCAAGTATTTAATAAATGATTAGAGGTAGATTGTTTCTCTGTTGGATAGTGGCACAGCTCACATAAGAAATTTTTATTCTTAATGTCAGTTCAACTCCTTCATATCAATTATTGGATGCATTAAAAAATTAATCATCTGAAAATATTTCCCCTACATCTATGATGGCTGTGTATTTTTTATAGTTCCCAGAAGTGACATGATGGAGATTTTGCACAGTGACTGTATTCATTTAGCTATTTAACTTTGCAGTCCTTAACCCTTGATCTGCGGACCAGTACTGGTCTGTGGCCTGTTAGGAACTGGGCCACAAACCATGAGGGGAGCAGAGAGAGAGCAAGTAAAGCTGCTCCCTTGATCACTGTGTGAGCTCAGCCTCCTATCACATCAATGGCAACATTAGATTGTTAGGGGAGCATGAACCCTACTGTAAACTATGATTTCAAGGGATCTAGATTGCACACTTCTTACGAGAATTTGATCTCCCCCCTTCACCTATTCATGGAAAAGTTGTCTACCATGAAATCGATCTCTGGTGCCAAAGAGGTTAAGGACTGCTGATTTAAGTGCCTACTCTATGTTAGCAATGGTATCAAATGGTATTTGATACTCAAGATACAAAAGAAAGAGATGATGTGGTTCCTGGCCCCAAGATCTCAAGAGCTAGTGCCAAGACAGAGACGCCATTACAAACACAACAGCATTGGTGCATGGTGAAAGCATTGCTAACAGAGAAGTGTGAAGTGTGGGTAGGCTCTGAGGATGACTGAAGCTACTTTACTGGTAGAGGGTCAAGGCAAACTGCTTTACAGAGGTGATAAAAGGAATGACATACTCTTAAAAGAAGAGGTTTAACTGGGAGAGAAAGGAAAAAGAGTATTTCCAGCAAAGAGGCAACCCAGACAAAGGGGGAGACATGGAGCATGTGCATTGGCAGATTGGAATAAAATAAGAAAGTGGAAGAAATGGGATTGGGCAGGTAGACAAAAGGACAACTGAAGACCTTGCTTGACATATTTGGACATACTGACCTTATCAGATACGTGTATCATTGGAGTACTTTAAACAAGATGATGATCTGATTAGACTTGCCTTTGAGAGGTTGGGGGATGCACTGGATGGGAACAAAACATGACATTGGGAAGCCAGTTATGCAATTGAAAACAAGTTTCAACTGTAGTTCAAGCCCACCTTCTAGATGATCAGGGCCTGCTCTAAGGCAGGGCAGTGGAGATGAAAGGGAGGACTCAGTAAATAATCATTTAGAAGGCAAAATCAAAAGATTTGGTAGCCAACCAGATGTCTAGAAGTGAAGGAGAGATTCTCCAATGTCAAATGTATTTACTAACAGTTATCACAATGGATACTTAATCCCTACTTCAAATCCCCAGTGGTGATGCAAATAAAAGTATTATTTCAGCAATTCTGTAGGGGAAAAAACCCAAAAGGCTGTCTGTAGCAATTGCAATATTTATGTAACTGTCACCAGAGACAAAGAAGACTGGAAATCTATAAACTGGCCCCTTCTAACCTTGTGAGTTAGCACTCACCCACCTTGGGACTTTGCTCTTGACCATGCTGGGCTTAAGTTACCGTTTGTTTACATACGTCAACTCTTTAATTAGGAGATCTTAAGTGCTAGGGATCAGGACCAGATGCTGGGGTTGGCACTGCCTAGTGGGAGACTGGCGCTGACAAATGGCTTTGGGTGGCTCAGACCCAACCTGGCCTGTTCTGGCTGCCTGAAATAGAGAGGAAATTTTGCTGCAAGAGGGCTGCAGTAGGCTCTGAAAGGGAGAGGCGTCTGGGACAAGGAAAGTGCTATCTTGGGAATCAGGAACTGAGTTCCAGCTCTGCAATAGTTGGTTCTAAGACTGTGGAGCAGCCGCTTTGTCTTTCTTGGTCTTTTCTGTCTCTGAGAAATGAGGAGCCAGGTTTCCTGCAGGTGTCAAGAGGGGCAGGACAAGCTAGCCAGCCTCTCTTTACTGAGGATCACATGAATTGGTATTGACACGACTACGGTTCTTTGTGTTAAAATCAATCACCTTTCCCCAGTCCACAGAGTGTTCCCATTTGTGAGACCACTAATGTTGGGTGGGGACTTTGTACAAGAATCCACTCAGCAAAGATAAAATGCTGGAGAATAAGATCCCTGCTGCCACTGCCAAAGAACAGGTAACTCTAGTGTTACCCACAGAAATGTTATGACCACATGGAAAATACTTAGAACGATAGTTAACTAAAAATGTGACAGAATCTGACTATTGTATCTCAAAGGTATACCTCATCTTAAGGAAAGTGATCTCTGAAAAATCAGCTGCAAGACCAGTTTTACTAAACCAAACAGAATCACTACACTTTACAAAAATGTACTTATTTAAGTCCCTGGAATACTAGCTGGGGTTACTTAGTTCCTGCAACACTGGGGTTATCTTTTCCCAAAGTTTTCAAGTTGCCTGTAATCTCAGCAATTCATTTGGAAAAGGTTTCCCTGTTTCATTAGTCACCATCGTGTCTTTATATGTGTTAAAAGTCTTTCTGTGGACTGTATGAAAAGGACAGGGTCCATATACTATTATTTCTCTAGTCCTAGTTGTCCATGGGTCAGTTTCCTTCAGTGGGATGTGCAGGGACCCAAGTGCGAATGCCTCCAGGAGCAAACTCAATCAAACTGCCCTTAGTTCAGTGGGTAGGGTGCTGGCCACATACGCTGGGGATGGCAGGTTCAAACCCAGCCCAGGCCTGCTAAACAAAAATGACAACTACAACCAAAAAATAGGCAGGTATTGTGGTGGACATCTATAGTCCCAGCTACTTGGGAGGCTGAGGCAAGAGAATTGCTTAAGCCCAAGAGTTTGAGGTTCCTATGAGCTGTGGCACCATGGCACTCTATTGAGGATGAGAAAGTGAGACTCTTTCTCAAAATAAAACAAAGTGCCTGTTTATATACAATTTGTACACACAATGGAGAGCTTTACAAAAGATTCTCATTTGTAACACTGAAAACAGCAGATGTGTGTGTTGAATGACTGAATGACCATTTATTTATTCACCCAATTGTTAATACCATTGTAGAACTTTCTGTGAACTTGTGATTTATGTCTTTGGAGAACTGAAGTGAAGTTTTGCATCTCCTAATAGCTATACTTCCACCCTGATTCGCTTGACTGCCTGGGACCTCATATTTACCTGTCTTAGAAGATCAGTCTTTTTTTGATAGAGGATACATACTCATTCTGTTGTTCTGTTTCTTCTATAGATTTCTCTTCTTTGGCTCTTCCTTGGACCACAGAAGAATTATTTGACAGAGACTACTGACAACAGGGAGCAATTCTGGTGCAAATAAGGGGTAAGTGATTAGTTAATAGGAGATTCTCAAAAAAATGATGAAATCGATGAGATTTTCCATCACACTTAATATTGTTCTTCACTGAATTATGTCAGAAATATACAAGTGCATGTGCACCCTTTAAGAATTTTTTCATAATACAGGCACATACTTGATTGAAATTTGACATCAGAAGATGAGTGAATTGAATGCACCTTACCTTGAGCTTGAGAGTCTCTCTAGAAAGCAGGGTTGTGATCCTTAAGATAGGGAATTGGCATTTTAAAGCACAGTATATGCGAAAGGTGATTTGTAAACTATAAAAACTGTGAGGTTATAGATTCTAGAAACTCTGTTCTGGAACCTAAAGGGTAAATAGGTCCAATTTACTCACTCAGGTAAGTATATCAGAGACACTAAGGGAGACATCCTGGGAGGAGAGCAGATAACTAGGGTTGTCTTCTCCTTGCCTGACCTTGACCCTCTCTGGAGCCTGGCATGTCCTCCCATAGACCAAGGATAGAAGTATCAGGCTTTCACTTTTCAGTAATGTTTAGAGTATCTTGAGATAATAATGATGACACCATTATCAAGTCAAAAGCTTTACAGATCTACAGTGGCCCAGCATGATATGGCTATGGCAAAAGCATTGTCACCATGCAGACCATTGTTTAAATTTGTGTTACTTACTTTAATTCCTTGAGAAAGGCATTCAAACTTTTCTGAGACATGGAACTGTGTCTGTAGCTTTGAAGTGGAGATAAAGCTGTTGGGGACAACATGTAATTTGAATATGCAAAATACTATGCCTTAAATAGTAATATTCAGTTCATGGTTATCATCATCATCATTACAGGTACAAAACAGGTAGTCTATTTCCTAAGCTTTCACTTATTCAACAGGTATTTTGAGTGATCATTATAAAAATTGAAAGTCAGATATGATTTAATGTCAGGTTATGATGTCAGTGAAGACAAAAAGTATTAAGTCTGTTAAGCCCATTTGTGCTAAAGTTGTGTGTAAAACAACTTTATAAAAATAGCATGGTACCAGCACAAAAATAGAGACTTAGATCAATGGTATAGAATAGAGAATCTAGAGGTAAACCTAGTTACCTATCATCATTTGATCTTTGATAAACTTAATGAAGCATACACTGGGGAAAAGAATCCCTACTTAACAAGTGGTGCTGGGAGAACTGGTGAGCCACATGTAGAAGACTGAAACCGGACCCACACCTCTCACCACTTGCAAAAATTGACTCTCACTGGATAAAGGATTTAAATTTAAGATGCTAAATAATAAAAATTCTAGAATAAAGTGTGGGAAAACTTCCTAATAATATTGGTTTGGGAAAAGATTTTATGAAGACCCCATTGGCAATTGCAGCAACACCAAAAATAAATAAATGGAACATGATCAAACTTAAAAAGTTTCTGTACAACTAAGGGTATAACAACTAAAGCATACAGACAACATTCAGAATGGAAGAAGATATTTGCATGCTACAAATCTGACAAAGAGTTAACAACTAAAGTTTAGATAACTTAAACTAATCAACACAAAAGACCAAACAATTCTATTTATAAATGGAAAAGAGATATAAACAGAACCTTCTCCCAAGAAGAAAGATGAATGGCCAAAAAACACATGAAAAACTGCTCACTGTCCCTAATCATCAGAGAAATGCAAATCAAAATTACCCTGAGATATCTTCTAACTCCAGTGAGAATAGCCCATATCCCAAAGTTCTTAAGCTCTAGATGCTGGTGTGGATGTGGAAAGAAGGGAACACTTTTACGCTGCTGCTGAGACTGCAAACTAAAACAGCCTCTAAAAAACAAGTACAGAGAAAACTCAAAGATCTAAAGTAAACCTTCCATATGATCCCTCAATCCCATTACAAGGTATCTACTCAGGAGAAAAAAATCATTTTACCATAAGGATATTTGCACTAGAATGTTCATTGCAGCTCAATTCAGAATCTCCAAGATGTGGAATCAACCCAAGTATTCATCAATTCATGAATGAATTAACAAACAGTGGTATATGTATACCATGAAATACTATTCTGCCATAAAAGATGGAGACTTTACATCTTTTATATTTACATGGATGGAGTTGAAAAACATTCTTCTTAGTTAAGTATCACAAGAATGGAAAAGCAAGTATCCACTGTATGCAATACTAATATGAAATCAAGAGATAAATCATTATAACCCTACATGAGAGAAAAACAATTAAATTCAAGTGAGGGGTGGGAGGAGAAGGGAAAGGGGAGAGGAGAGAAGGGAGGGAGATTGGCAAACTCTCACCTCATGGGCACATGTAAGGGTATATAGAACATCTCCCTTGATGAAGGGCTCAGCTGCAACTTGAACTACGTTTAACAGATGCAAACAATGTAACCTAATCATTATATGTTCATATTTATCTGAAATTCAAAAAATACTTATTAAGAAAATATAATGCCCTTTTTAAAACAGTTGAATTTCATAGCTGACCCTCATTAAGATCTAAGTTGGTCACACTGTTTTTTTTGTTTATTAATTTTATGTTTTCATAATAAAACATCCACATATTTATCCAGTCTTCCGGTGCTTAATAACTTCCATCTTGCTAACATATTTGCAAGATGGTCACACAATAGAGTAAAGCTGGGACTTGGCTAAAAAACCATGGGCTCCTTTCTATGTCTGGGTATAGAAACACCCAGAAGAAGTGTATAGACTTTAGATTTTATTCTGGACGAGATAGAAGCATTTGAAAATTTTGACCAGAGAAGTAAAGTGAACTAATTTGACTTGAAGAGATTTATTCAGCCTGTAGACAGAGAAGAGTTGTTAAGTGGATGAAGGCAGGGATGACCTTTAGATGGTCATTGCACTGATAAAGGAGAAATGGGAGAGTGGTTTGGACTTAAATGGGTATAGTGCAAAGTGATGATAAGTGGTGAGATTCTGCATCTGACTTAAAGGTAAAGCTTCAGGATTTGCTGGGAGCTCATGATGTGATGTGAGGAAAAGAGAGGAGTCAAGGCTGAGTCTTAGGATTTTGGCCCAAGCAATAGGAAGAATGATGCTGCCTGTTACTGAAATGGAGAAGACAGAGGGTAGGGAGGAGAAGTCCTGAGGGGAAGACCAAGGATACAGCACCGTGCAACTTAAATCTGAGATGTACAGATGTGCAACTTAAATCTGAGAAGTGAAGGTACAGAGAGATGATTGGACTCGGGAGTCTAGAATTCAGGGTAAATGTTGGTGCAGGAAACAAACATTTGACAATCATTGGAGTATAGAAGGTCTTCAATGTCATGGGACTGGGAGAGATCACCCAGACAGTGAATGCAGGTAGAAAAGACGGTGAGGTTGCAGAGACCAAGCCCTAGAGTACTTCAGTGTTGGAAGCCGGGAAGATGAGGAGCCAGTGGAGAGGGGCAGAAGGCAGACATTGATGGGAAGAAGAACCAAGAGAGAGTGGTCTCAGGGAGAAAGAAAGTGAAGAAGCAAAGATGTTAAAAGGACATCATCAACTGTGTCAAATGCCACTAAAAAGCCAAATAAGATGGAGACCAAGAATTGGTCTTTGAAGTTTGAAAGATGGAGGTTGCTTGATAATCCTGAGCAAAGCTGTGACGCTGGAGAGGAAAGGTGACCTGATTGGAGCAGATTCAAAGGGGAAGAGGAAGAGAAGTAGAGACAGTGAGAAAAGACAACTCTTTCTAGGGTTTTACTCTGAAGAGGAGGAAGAGAGAGGCAAGGAGGGGAATGCCTAGAAGAAAATGTGGGGTATAGGCAGGGACGGTATCAGAATCACTGTCGGGGTATCAGTGAACCACAGGGATGCTGGCTGCAGGACCTCAGCAGATCTTGGGGGGCCCTTTGGATCTAGGCATTAATCCTGTGGTTGCTGGTTATGGAATGTCCAGGAGGTCCCAGGGGACAGGCTAGGCCCAAAAGGCTTGGGTGTGGAGGCCACTTGACAGACTCAGGGAGCAGTGTTTCCCAGCAAATCCGGAAGGATTTCAATATTTTAGCACTCACCATGGCAGTGCCCTGTGTGCCTGCTGAACATCAGCCTGGGATCTACAGAGAGCTGAGGCTTTGTTTTCATCATCACCTTTATTTTCTAAGATGAGGGGATATGGCAGCATTTTTAAACGATTGTGAAAGTGACCAGAAGACAGGGGAAATTTGAAAATCTGTTGATGTAAAAGACTAAGGTGAGGTTGGTGGGAGGTTCTTGAGCCTGCAAATGGAGTGAGGCTAGTGTGCAAGTGGCTGGTTGTGCTAGAAACACACCCTCGTTGCTCACAACAGGGAAGGGCGCAGAGGATGAGGCGCAGACACAGGCTGATGTGAAGCGGAGGCAGGGACAGGGCTTGGGGAATCTTTCCTGGTCGCTTCTGTTTTCTCTGTGAAAGAAGGGAAACACATTCACACTCAATTCCTCCTCTTCATCAGGACCACTCCCTATGCATGTTAGCTGAGATTTATGTAGAATCTAGGAAACCCTGGTTACTAGACCAATTTTCCATTTAGAATCCATGTCCACAAATCATCCGTGTCACACAGTCATCTGCGGAATCTCGGTTTCATTTCATTCCACGGATGATGATCAGAGCTCCCTTTTTTCTTTTTCGAGAGCCAGGTAGTTTGAAATGTGATGAACTCCCACTGTCTAGTACCCTGCTTTGCTGTAGTCTGGCCCAGGATGGAAACATTTCTTGCCTGGCACAGTGATGTATCCAGAGCTAGCATAAAAGCTGACTCAAGTAGGTGTTCAATAAATATTTGTTTCATGAATATAGGAAGGAAGGGAAGAAGGAAGGGAGGGAGGAAGAGAAGGAGGGAAGGGGGATGAATTCAAGGCTTTCATCTAGAAGGGCCATCACTAATCTGGCCCTATTAAATATGTGTCTGCCAGCAGGTTTGCGTTTTGTTTATAGCTAATTCCTCTGTGACATATTTGGCATTCCAAGATTTTTGCCTAGACTCAGGAATACACCCAAAGTGGCAGTG